TACGCCCAGGGGGGCAAAAACAAAATTCGGACAATTATTAAATTACCCCCAAAACTTTTTTTTTTGACTTTTCCGGGGGGGGGGGGCGGGGGGGACGAAGACCCTATCCCCCCCCCTAACGCCATACAATTTCCTATATAAAACAAACCCATTCCTGTATCCTATATAAAAACGGGGCACATTTCATGTACGGGGGTAGTGCAATCCACGTAATAGTAGCCTCTGGGTGAGCTTGCGTGTGTAGGAGAAGCAGCTAACCGAGGAGGAGGGGGGAGGAGGAGGGAGGGCGAAGGCGCTCGACGGGAAGAGGCTGTTTTGTCGTGTTGAGGGGAGGGGCTTGGAAAAAGTGGAAAAGTACAACGCACGGCAAATTGCAATTGACTGTGTACGGGTGTTGCACGTGGCGAAGGAAGGTGATGCCATGCACCGTCGTTTGCTCATCGCCAGCCCCTCTCCGGTACTATTGCCGGCTTGAGAAAGCTTGGATTGATGATGAATCGACGCATGGATTCATGTGTCCTTTGGTTCTGATGTGTCGTTTGTTGGTGTTGTTTCGCCTTACTTTTCGCCTGAGGTCAAATGTGGTGGACTGACTTGTCGCAGAAGCATGTATCCCCGGGTTTCACGCCGAGGCGTGGCGTCCGGCTCTCTAACCCTAACCCTAGCCCTAACTATAACCTTAACCCATAAGCTCCCTCTCTCAGAGAAAGTAGCGAGGGTTAGCAAGAACTCGTGAGCAGGGGTCCGCATGAGTAAGCGGGGTAGATTGATCAAGTCAAACGTAACCCTACAAGACCAAGGCTACGAGTAGATTTGCGAGACAATGTTCTCTGTTGTACACTGCTAGAAGCGGCAAGAGCAAGTAGTTAGCAAAGCAGGTGGTTGTGTTAGATGGTGGTTACCTGTGAGCCGCTTCGCTCATTTCGAGCTTTGGTCGATATGTACTGTACTTTCGTAGATATGGGGCGCTACCGTACGTGTGTTCCTGTAGCGCGGCTGGGTGAGCGTGGGCCCGCTTCTGACGAGCGGATACAGAAGGGGTAACGAGAGCGAGGATTGTTTGCAATCCATCTAACCTCATGGTCACTTTTCGACGATTCGTGGTAATTTTTGGAAATTTCTCTCCCTTCCGGGGTGGGGGGGGGGTGGGGCCTATGTGTCCGGAATTTTTTTTCGCGAAGACCCTTGCCCCAGTCCTTCACAATCACAGGAAGTGACAAATTCTACTCTCCCGGCGACGGGTGTACAAACTTATGAAGACTACTCACAAGGCCCTTTGTGCACATGCCGTAAACATCAGCACACGCAAGCACACGCAAGCACACGCGATGTAGAGCGGGAGGAAGCCAAGAAAACCTGCAAAAAAATGTAACACGAAAAAAAAAACTCTTCTCGCGGCGCTCCCGGGGGGGGGGGGGTTAGTTAGGCTTGTGCGCGGGATAACTTTTCTTGCATACCGTAAGGATGCGGGTCTCCGCACAGGGGTGTTCGCGTTAGGGAAAGCTTTCTTACTCCGCAACTAGGAGGGTGCGAAGGTCAAACAACACGTCTAAGGAAAGACCTCGATGAGATGATTCCAAAACCGCCCTTTTCGGCAGTGTTGCCTTCCTAGTTGTCGAGTGGTGAAGCTTTGAAAAACGCTAACACCCCGGTGCGGAGACCCGCATCCTTA